TTTAACAAACACTCCAGGTAATTCTGATGCATTCTCAAGTTGGAGAACTATCTTACACTACTCCTTCTGTCTGTGTGCTGGACACCACATTCTCAGGGGTTTTGAGATATAGCCCCGCCCCTCAACTAATACCTAACTACTTCGATGGACTCCTAACTCATGACTCAACTTCAGTCTTATTCCCCTGCAATCAATGTGATCCTTTGGGGGCATAAATGTTTTAGTGTCATTCTATTTCTTAAAACATGTCTTCCATTCCCCACTAGAATACTATCCAATATTTCAAACTGTCTTACAGGTTTTTCAAGTTTGGGTGTCTGTCTCCCTAGCTTCATATTGTATAAACCATCTTTTTGAATTTGAATACACTAGGCATCTTGAAATTCTTTCTGTTTCTTTCATGCCATGTCCTTCCTGGTCTTTGGAAGGTCCTCCATGGATGTTGATTCCTCTTCTTACTGTTTCCATACTCTTCCTGTCTACTGTTTCTTCTAGTTAACATTACTTGTCCTTTGTATCTCAAGTCAGAATACATTTCATTGAGGAGTCCTGGTCTGACCTTCAGACTAGATTGAAGTTTATTCCTATATGCTTTCTTAGCTCCATGTTCATCACCTATCATAATTCTCACCTGTTTCTAATGCCTGTTGTCTATGCTAGACTAAAAGCTACTAGAGTGTAGAGATTATGTTATCCTCATTCACACTGTATCCTCTATACCTAGCATAAGGCCTGTGTCTGACATAAGGTAGATGCTCAACAAATACCTGTTGAATAAATAAATGAATGAATGAATTTTGAATTTTATGTTGTGTTTTTGGTCTTTGTCTTTACTGCTTTTTAAAGTATCTTCCTGTTAATTGTCCTTCCCCGCACCCCCATAACTACTTCCATTGCTCTTTTAAATTAAAATCCTAGCCCTGTGGGATCCAATCTATGTGCTAAGGTGTCCCAAAATGCCTTAATGAATTCACAGAGGCACCATGCGATATTTCCAATTGTCGAGGGAAGTATGACAACATCTGTCAGATACCATGCAAACTACTAGCTCAAGGGAGTTAGATAACTACATTTCTTTCAAAAATGTCATATCTTTGTGAAGCTAGGTTTTCAACAGTGGCTGTAATAAAAAAGAAGTATCAAGTGGAAATCAATATAGTACAGAAATTAGGGTGGAGGTATCCAATTTGATTCCAAGTTTGAGAAGATCTGCAGTGCCCAATAGGCACTGAGTTATTAGGACATAAATACTCATTAAGTTGATTGGACCTAATTACTTAATAAGCAAAACCATTAAATATTTCCTTGGGCCTAGAAGCATTGTGAAAAAAATTACTGAGATAGTAAAGAAATTGAGAATGTGTGCGAACCTCTGTCTCTGCCAGTTGTTAATTTTCCTTTATGTGGACCCCCCCCTGCCGCTCAGTTCTATTTTTATTTATATTCCACTCCAGTTAGTTGTTGCTTATTATGATTTCTTTTAGTTCGTTCTTTTTGGTAATCATATTATATCAATTTACTGTCATTGATTCTTATTCTTTTTGTCTGATTTCTATCATAATTTCTCCTCTCCTCTATAATGATTTCTAAATCCCCCTATTATGATTATCTATTTGTTTTACTGAAATATTACATTGTAAAGAAAATAAAAATGACTTTGTAAAGCTCTATGTGCACGCACATAAATATCTGTTTTATATGTTTGGTTTTGTGTGTGTGTGTGTGTGTGTGTGTGTGTAAAGACAATTGTGTACCTCGGCTTTTTTCTAAAAGGGAGATATTACAGTGATATAACCTCATACATTTGTCAAGGCTGGTTGAGCAGTCTCTGTAAAGCTGTCATCTTCACTTCTGATGCTTGGGTTTTAAGTTCACAGAAAGCAGGAAGGGAAGAGGCATGTATACTAGGAGAGCAAGATAAAGTTGGAACTCACAGCACAAAGTGGACTTAAACCTGTCATTTCTCTTGCCTCTGACCTTAGTGGTATGGTGTCCTGAAAAATCTGGGTCCCTTCATCATGGAGGTAAACACACACATACACACACACACACACACACACACCCTAGAAGGAAGATAAGGAAATGGTGAAGTAGTTGCAGGTTCATACAGCACCTCACAGCAACAGGGTGAGATAGTAGATCATAAACAATCTGGGTGAGCTGCTGTTTCACTTCTGCCCTCCAAATCTCACACAAGTATCTCTCTCTGAAACATACAAGAAAGGAACCTCTGGGAAATGTAGTCAGCCCAGCCAAGTGGGTACATTAAAAAGCCACCACAAAATAAGCATAGCGCTCAGTTCCTTTACCAAGGTAGCTTACATTATAGTTACAGAGAAAATATTTATTAAATAATTTATTTCATTAAATTAAAAGATAAGTATCAGAAATTCAATATATAATAAATGTTAAATGAGTGGTTTCAGAGGAAGTAGAGAGAAGTGGAGAGAGTGGTTAACACAATTGGCACAATGGATAGATTTCAAGTAGATAATAAAAGAATTATTCCAGTGAGGGAAAATGGCAATGCCCTAGAGACAGGAATAACCAGGCATTACAAGACAATGGCAGATCAATCTAACCTGAGCAAAGGGGCTGTGAAGCAAGGAGTAGGTGAATGAATCTGGAAAGGAAACCTGGAACTCGATCACAGCCTCTAATGCCAAACTTGTTTCTGGCTTTATTTTGCAGGCAGATGAGAATTCCTCATGATTTATCCAATTTACTACTATTAGTCCTATTTCTTTTTGCCTGGTTTCCATCTTTATTTCTTTCCATTCTACTCTATGAAATGATTCTTTATCCTTGCATTAATATCATCTGTTAGTTGTAATTAAACATCATATTGTACAGAAAAAGCAATTGGTTTTGCATTTGGTGTAAGGCAAATGGGGTACGGGATGTAAACAGGACTTTAAGATGATGACCCTGCTGACAGTGTGCAAAAGGGAGTGAAAGGAGCAAGTGGAAACTGAAGGCATGACTTCTCTCCCAGCAGCATTCTTCATAAACTAAAACCAGAGGACAGAATACAATTTGGAGTCTTTGGCTATGACTCAAGTTTCTTCCCATAGTTTGTAGGACTCAAGCTTGTCTTGATAAGTCATCATTACTCTTAATATCTAGAAGATGGTTAAACACCTTCCATCTTTATCTCAAGGTCCATTGACAAGATAAGCTGACCCTGGTAAGACTCATACTGGGGTTGGCCGAAAGCTCGATAGCGTAAAAGTAAGTTTTCCTCAACTCAGTGTCTTCTTCTGAGGAACTTCTAGGACTAGGACAGCCAGCCCCTCCTGTAGGCTATGGCATCCTCACAGTCTCCTCCTTGGGCAGAAGTATCTCTGGGAAACTGCATCCACTAATTGCTCCTATAGGCTGCAATCAGCAACTAATAGTCTTTCATTTCACAAAACCCCAATCTCTCCCCACCACAGTCTTATGCGCCAATGCCTCCGGAAAGAGAACTACAGCAGGAACCCTACTGAGCTTGTTTTAATGGGAAGAGGCCTGGGCTGAGATTCAGGAGAACTGGATCATAATCCCTGTTCTGCAGCTCGCTAGCTGTGAGATCTTGGGTACGACCCAAGATGTAGCTTTTGTGAGCTTTGTCAAATGAGTTGGTTAAATTAGATACTCTCTAGGGTTTCTTCCAGACTTAATTTTTTTTTAATTTTAAGACATGCTAATTAAAATTAGATCTAAATTTTACTTACCAAATTGACAAAAAGAAGAGTACAAGTATTCACTATTGGCAAGTTCTCTTAATACTGCGGATAAAACATCAAATTAATAATTTAAAAAAGTGAATATTGCCATTACATAGAAAAGTTGTTAAAAGCACATAGTCTCAGGAATATCCTGCCCCCATTCCTGGAATAACTGATTTCAAGGACACATGTAATGCTACATTATAACATCTCTTACAATAAGAACTTAGAAATAATACAAATATCCAGTAAGAAGCCATTGATTAAAGATATTATAGTAAGTTCATGCAATAGTGTAGAATATAGCAACTCAAAATGACACTGTAGAGACACTTTTAATAAAATTGAAAAGTTCTTTATATCAATATATAAAAAGAAGCAATTTACTTAATATTTCATTGTCATGTAGTCAATATTTAGTTGCATACATGTAACCACATTTCCCCAGATCTGATCTGCCTGTGACTGCTAAATAAAGCCATACTCTCTTTAACAGCCAGTTGACAACATATACGAGGCCCCATTCTGCAGAAGTTCATGCTTCTATCAGGTTCCCCATTCAGGAATGTTCAAGATTCTCAAAGGAACACTTACTTCCTCCACAAATCCACTGCTGGGCCAAAGTGCTAAAGGCAGGTCTATGCCCCAATATAGCTGACTTGTAGGCTCCTCTCTTTTTCTAGTACGCTTAATTACAAGTGCAAAATCTGTTGAAATCTGAGCAGAGTAATTTTTTCAAAACACAAACATGATCTTTCCCACCTCTCTTTTCATTCTTAAAACTAGAGCTTGCCATTACTCTAAAGGTAAAGATAAAATTCCATAAGAAGCCTACAAACTCCTATAGTCTGGCCTGGTTTGGCTCTTACATGCTTCCCCAGCCTCAACACATACCAGCCTACCTTTCAAACCAGCCACATGGGTCTTTTCTCAGTCCTTCATATTCTTCATGCTCCCTCCTGCCACAGGGCCTTTGCATTTACTATTTAGTTCTCTTCCTGCAATGTTCTTGCCCTACTCTTTCATCCAATTAACTCTTTGTCATGTTTTAGTTCTCAGTTTAATTGTCATTTTCTCAGACAGGGGTCCTCAAGGCTACCAGATTTGGCAAATTATCCATATTATACATTCACACGGGATCATGTACCTTTCTGTTATAGTACTTGATCACAGTTGCAAATTTATATTTTAATCATATGATTGATTAATAAAGAAGAGCTGTATCTATTTTTTCCTTCTCTTCCTTCTCCCTCTCCCTTTCCCTCCCCCTCCTCTCCCCTTTCTCCTCTTCTTCTTCCTCTTCCTCTTCCACTTCCTCTTCCTCTTCTTCTTCATCTTCTGCTTCTGCTTCTTCTTCTTCTACATTTCATTTTCACCTAAGACAGAGACTGCTACATATTTTTGAATTACTATTTCAAGCTTCCTCCTGGTGGAGGTGAGGGTTTAGAATAGCCCCTACAATTGAGAATCTCCACCCATCCCCACATCTTGAACCCAGGACCCTAACTTTTCTTTCATCCCTGAGAAAAGAAGAGATCTCCACTTCCCCTAGATCAGGGCTGCTTGGTGGAGATGTCCAATTATTTGGAGAAAACTCTTACCTTTATCCACAAGGTGTTCCCTTAACTCCAAGGTCGAGAGAAGTCATCACAATATTTTATAGTACTTTTCAAAACTTAGGTTGTTCAGGTCTGAATATTATTCTAAATGAAATACTATTAGTGTAGACTCAATCTATGGCACAATCTTCCTTCTAGGGTTGGTAAAGCTTCAAGATCTCCTGCAAAAAGATTTCCTAGAACAAACAATATTTTCAGTCATGGGGCAGCCTAAATCCAGATGTAGAAAAAACAAACTATCTAATTCCATAGTACTCTAATTCTGCTAATGATAATAGGAATTAATATTACTAAATAGATTAACATTTCAGATTCAAGTGCCAGCATTTGGACCACATTTCTAGCCTTATGTAAGAATTTACTGAATAGCTACCTGTATAAAATAGACTACATTTATAAAAAGGAAGTTTTCCATAGATATCAAACACAATTTATATCACAGATAAGAAAAATTGCCTACAACCCTCCAAAATGGCACTTTTCTAACTTTCATAATTCAAGATTCATTCTCCTGAGGCTTCTGTCTACATACACAAAGGTACTCACAGGCGTATACTGAGAACTGTTCCAGGTCTGGCTTCCCCTTAGAGTAACTAGTTCCGGGGCCCTAGTTTGATCATAGCTCAAGATACTAAACAGAAGGGAATGACTGTAGGATAGGCCTGGGAGTATTCCTCCTTAACTCGTATTCTTCATCTCTTTGGGGGTGATTATAACATGACCTCTTTTCAGTTTAGCTACACAATTGAGTGAGTTTCTCAGACTCTAAAAGGAAAAGGGCTGAAGAAACTGCTTCTCTGGAACATTCTAACATGTTGACTGTATAATGGGATTTTTCAGTTTCCCAAGGATATCTTCAGTCCATTGTAGAAAAACAGTGAAAGTTTCTGGGTTAGTAGTAAAAATTATATATTCACATATATTCATATATATTTCTAAATTTTTTTAAGCAAAAGAGAAAAGTTCTCTAAAGAAAGGAAAGGAATAGGGTAGCCCAAGGGGCTAAACCATGGGTGAGTAATTAATGAGTATATTTTTTTAACTTTGATAGGTGATGGTTATCAAAATTTTGAAAGACTGAGGTTGCTTTGGAAAAAAAAGAGGAAACAACCACCACCACCAAAAAAAAAAAAAAACTCTTAAATCTGTACAAGAAGTTTGTATTCTAAAAACAACAGCATCATATTTAGAACATTAATAATATTCTAATATTATATATGCAAGGATTTAGTGGGAAAATAGATATAATTATAATGGATCACTTAGTCAGTATGGTGTTGGAGAGTAGGCCTCTTCTTCTCAAGTCTAGGCCTTGTTCTCTTTCCACAATAAAATGTAACGTATTTAACTAATTTCTAGAAAAACATCTGCTCACAAGACGTGTTTTTGACATATGGTCCTTACATGGCAATCCATCCAAATATGCAGCAGATATCCACCTTTACATGCATTCCTACTGCATATAACACTCAGTTCTAGAGGGATTTGAGGATTAATATAAAAACTTTAAACCTCTACCCTAAGAATGTAACTATTTTTCTGTATGCAGAAGTATTTCTACCTTTAATAGAAGTCATCTTAATTTCCCTCAAGAATATGTACAGTATATCTTTTGAAATAGTGAAAGTAACAAAATCCAAACAGATAATTGCCTAATGTGAATATAATCAAGAGAGACATTGCATAGGAAATGAAATTTTGCTAGCAAAAACTAATAGAGATTCACTAAGAAAGCAAGCCTGAAGAAAATGAATTCGTATATGAACTTCGAAACATCAAGAACTAAATGCCTCTCATTAAAAACACCCATTAACACCAAAGAATACACTGCCAGTTTGGCACTAATCTATGAAATTTATCCCTATAGAGCCACAGAACAGAACTTGTCTTTTATAAACTATATACGTACATACCCTCCTCTATTAAAAATGGAGGCAATTGCTTGAAACAAACTCTGTCTTCTCCCAAAGCTTTTACAGAAATAAAGTTCTATAGTAACTATAGTCTTAAGACCATCTTAGAAATTTCACATAGTAACTATCTTTTAGTACCTAGACATGTGGGTGTCAAATTTATATATTACTTCTACTCTCCCCATACCCATAGAATATTTTCCTTTGCCATATGGTAAACATATTCAAAAATATTCCCGGGTGTCATTTTATGGTTGTCAGGTAGTCAAAGTAACTAGTTAGTAGTTTATAATAGTGATTCCATCTCTATTCACTTAGAAACAGTTATGAGCACTATTATGTTCAAGATACTATACTAAGAGCATTGGAGGAAAGAATATTTTTTAAAAAACAGCTAAATGTATTCTTTCAATAAATTTAAAAACTCTAACAGAGGAAAGATGTAGAACTAGAATTCTATGACATTAGAGAGCAAAGGAGGTATATGAGAGTGAGGAATTAATTCATTAGGTAAATAAGAAAGAAGGGTAGGCCAGGAACAATTTCCTAAAGAACTGACCTTTGAGTCGGATTTGGAAGGATTGGTAGACTTTACACAGAGAGGAGGGAAAGGGCATTCCAGGCTAGGGGACAGCTTGAAGAAGGGCAGATAGAGAGATGCATGACATATTAGAGAAAAGAGATTTCTTCCATTGACAGGTGAAAGAAGAGAAAGGAGGTGGTAAAAAAAAAAAAATAAGCCTGGAAAGCTATTAAGACCAGATCATGAAGGGATTTTAAAAATCATATTAAGTTATGTATATTTTATTTAGCTGAATAGAGGGCTAAAGATAGGCTTTGAACAGAGTAACATAAGATCTTTACCATAGGAACAGTTGGAGAATTTGAGAAAAGAAGCATTACTATACTAAATGGTTTTATAGGCCTAAAAAGGGACCTCTATTGAAAAGCTGAAGTGAGGAAAAGAAATTCAAATGGCCAATCGACTTATGGAAAGATGCTGAACTTCACTCCTCATTAGAAGATTCAAACTAGACCAACAAGGAGACACCATTTCTCATCTCATCAAAAAGACAAAAATGAAAAATATTGACAATATGCATTTACTAGCAAGAACATGAAAAAATAAGGATCTCCCTATGGTGCTAAAGGAGAGCTCAAATGGATAAAACCTTTTAGGCAATAACTATCCAAATTTAAAATGAGCATTCCCTTTGACCTACCAGTTACTCAAGTGTTCAAATACACACACACACGAACACACACACACACACACATACACACACAAAAGAATTTATACGACATTGGAAAACTTGGAAATATGCAACAAAAAGAACCTGATTAATAAGTTATGGCATATATTTTCAATATAATTCTGTGTAACCCTTACAAAAAAATGAGATAAATTTGTATGCAGTGAAATTAAAATTTTTCATAATATATTATTATTTTATTAATATATTAAGAGGTCATACAGTGGCAAAAGGATGTGATTAAGTTCCTGAAACTGAATATGTGAATGTGCATGTGTACATAAAAAGAGACTGATAGATAAGATTAAAATGATATAAAGCAGACTATCCAACTAAATTTAGAAAGCGGAATAGGAGAAAGAAAGGACCTGAAAAGGGAAAACTTGTTTTAGTTGTGGAGGGAAAACAAAGCACTAGGAATCTTTCAGAAGGCTTTCGAATAATATGACAACATGACTAAATCACATTAGTAAGTTAATTTGTGAGAGTATTAGTCAAAGAGAAGAAATTAACAAATTCTACAATAGTTTAACCGATAATAATGATGTTTGTTTCTTTGCTTATAATTTGGTGAGAATTCTATCCCCTGGAGAATCTTGGTATACAGAAATGCCAAACTGGGCCAAATACATAGCCCTTCCTTGTCAGTATTCTATAACACCAACAGACATTTGGTGCGAGAGAATGGAAAGAAGGGAATTGCCACCATTCTACTCTCTGTTTTTATGAGTTCAGCTTTTTAGATTCCACATATAAGTGATATTAAACAGTATTTGTCTTTTTCTGTCTGACTGATCTCACCTAGCATAATGCCCTCAAAGTCCAATCATGCTTTTTTAATACACACACACACACACACACACAAACACACATATATGTGTTTATGTGTATATATATGTGTGTGT